TTAGGTGGAATTTCATTGTCAGACAAAGTGTACCGCAGGCTAACAATAACAAGGATAGCCTTACACAGATGCATGAAGGATTGAAACACTCTTTTCTGCTGACTAACAGGACTATATGATGAAACCAAATATAGTTCCATTTTAGATATAGATGACTGCCAAAAAATAGGAAGAAGACTTGAGGCATAGGAGAAGATAAGAGCGGTAAGCCGGCAAGCATTATTGACCGGAAGAAGAGCATAGCAAAATAACTTACATTAGCGGAAAGCACAAAGCAGACATTAGCTCAACAGAATTTATCTCAACAGAAAGTAAATATCACCAATCAGTTAAAAAATAAAAAGAGCCATCCTTAGGTTTCATATTTCATATGTAGAAATATGGAATTCTTTATGAAGCATGTTGTGCCGTTTTCATTCATTGATACATCAAAATATAATAGTATGCAACCTCCTTTACTTCCAAAGCAGTTGACTTACTCATTTGGCTTCAATAAATTCCACCAAAGGCTTTTCCTTCTATAAAATTAAGCACATTCAGCCATATTAGCCATGAAGTGAATGGGCAGGTTTCAGGGAAAAGCATAATGCAGTGATATATTCATGTAAAGGGTTAGATGTAAAATTTTATTAGACCCTATAGAATCTATCAAGGAAAGTAGTTCAACACTAATTTTTCATTTGAACCTCAGAAAGGATTATATTCTTTTTTTGTCTTCTGAATTCAAAATTGCCACAAAAATTGGAAATTTGTTCCGTACACAATAGAAACATCCTACCTTACAAGCAACACTGACCCCCCTCCCTCCCGAAAAGTACAACTTACAAATTCAGTCCTTCCTTTTCATAGATCAGCCGAAGTTCACAAGTAGCAGCTTGGTATGATTCTTTCCATAATTTGAAACCTTTTTGGTTGATAGAGGAGCTAGTAACAGACTGAATAGCAACAAACAACTCCCTCTCTCTTGTGCTGCTTAGCTCCTTGACAATATGATAGAAGGTCCTGCCATTGTCAAAGTATATGTGATTATTTGGGTACTTTGTTTTGCAACCAGCATGACATTCAAACTCATAACTTCATAAGCATTCAGTGCCTTAGAATAGTTACATGTTTGGCAGCCAAATAGATATCCAGAACCTCTTATAACCCCAAGCAGCTCCTGTCTAGAAATGGAAACATATTTTACAGGCACCTCATCAAGCATTCAAGCATCTCTAGAAAGGATTATAAATTATGTAGCAAAGTAGTGATGAACTTTAGAATGAAATAAAAGCATGGCAAACATATGATAGTCCAAACTTATTAAATTCAGATAATAGAATTTCATTCCTAATGGAAAGTAATGGAATTTAAACTAAAACCAATCAAAAGCATCAAGTTTTAGAAATAGAAAATAGTTTTAAAACAATTATCTTAAGAGATAGCAATGTGTTCATTGGTTTATAGCAGTTATTCTAGAATGCGAGGTGTTTCTCCGCCGCCTCACGCCTAGGCACGCCTAGGCTCCTCCTTTTGCCGCCTTTTAGAACACTGATTAGAATATACTATGCATATAATGTGTATGTGTATAACTGGTTTAGTTTGACCAAGAAAGTTATGCAAAAAAAGATAGGGTTAAGATTTCAGTTTTCCTCTTATTTTGATAATAGAATTTCATTCCTAATAGAAAGTAATGGACTTTAAACTAAAACCAATCAAAAGCATCAAGTTTTAGAAATAGAAAAAAAAGTTTTAAAACAATTATCTTAAGAGATAGCAATGTGTTCATTGGTTATAACAATTATTCTATATGTTTTTTCTGTGATGTTTTAACTGAACACTCTAATATCATTCCACTTACTATGTATGAAGTAACTTTTGAGCAGAAAAACACAACAAACCACTTCAACAATTCTTTAAAATTAGCTGAAATGAAGGATGTTTTATATGTATCATTTGTGTTTTCTATAAATCTGAAAAGAGCACTATTTATATTATCAATTATTTTGTGTAAAACAGTCAATTTACAACAAAAACACAATTTTAGATTAACAAGGAAATCTAGAAACTGCCAAAGTGCTGATGAAGGCATAAACAATAATCATCATTCAATATTTCCGATTGTCTTAATTAAACATTTACACTGAGCTAACCAACAAACCTGATGCGCACAAGAGCCAAAGGGGATTCTGGATTCAGGTAGTAATCAATCAGAGGCGGCTGAAATGCCGAAGCAAGAGCCGATGGACCAATCATATGATTCAGGAAACGTGAAGAGCAGAGGCAGAGAGTCTTTGGATTCGGGAAAGCATATAATCATCCGAAGGGTAACCTTCCAACCTCAGGGACTGAAGATAAGTAATGCATCTGGTATTTTACCTTCCGGGAGTTCAATCAAAACGAAGATGTCTTTGCCAGCGATTCAATTGAGCTGCTTTGCCAGAGCGGAACCGATTTCCAGAAGAACGCAGAGAACGACATTGCACAAGAAGATTCAGGGAACTTTTTTTTGTCTTTTGGATTTGTGCTTAATGTACTAAGGGATTCCTCTGTTCTTCTAGTGTTCGTTGTTGCTTGGATATCTGGTCTGGGCCCAGATAGCGAGGGTCGAGACGTCTGGATCCTCAACGGCTAATAACCTGACAAAGAAAGCAACGAAAGGTAGGGTTAATCATCCGAAGAAGACGAGAGGCTGCTAGCGAGAGGGGATGAACGATGGATATCTGGTCTGTGATTCGATTGAGTCCTTGTGCGGCTAGAGAGGAAGGGAAAAGCCAAACGGTTGTGGCCCATGAGAAGATTAACGGAGACAAACGGCTGTAGGAAGATAAGTCAAATGAGGTTGAAAGTTTACAAGCATCAAAACATGTTGTACATGTCAATTAAGCTTAGAATACCACCAACAAATTTTTTTATACCCACAATACCCTGACTCTTATTCATGCTTATTCTATTGTAGATTTTAGGCAACATTTCATAGAACTGCGCGATATGTGACCGTAGTAATTAATCACCTTGATATGGTTTCATGTTTTAATATTGTACACACTTAAAAGAAAATCTAAAAGATTGAATGAAATATAAGTGATTTTGTAATCAACTAAAATCGCAGAATTAAATAAAAAATGATTCGATGTAATGATATACCGTAGTATAAAAATAGGATCTGAAAATCATTGAATTAAAGGAGCATATAAAAATTGAAGGCTAGCAGGGTCAGCCTTTAATTACATCCGGAGTACTAGCTAGCTTGTCTAAAAAACTGCTAGGACCATACAAATGAGCATACTTTCATCAATATAAATAGGGAAAATGGAAACTAATAATCCAACCTTTTAGCGGTCTTCTTACAATAGTCCCACCTATTGATTATTCATGAATAATCCAACTTTTGCACCTCGTCTTCATTCACTGGTACCTGACCGGTTCATGACCTGTTGTTCCAAGTTATTTTCTTATCTTTGCAAAATATTATCTTTGTGAAAGGTGAGATTTACGGTATAATGGTTTGCAAAGATAGGAAAATAACTTGGAATAACAGGTCATGAACCGGTTAGGGACCAGTGAATGAAGATGAGTTGCAAGGGTTGGATTATTCATGTATAATCAAAAGGTGGGACTATTGTAAGAAGGTCGCTAAAAGGTTGGATTATTAGTTTCTATTTTCCCATATAAATATGGTGACAACTCTGGTACCCATTTAAAAAATGGGGGTACCGTACCTACCACTCACATGATTGGTCCAAATCATTAAATCATTTTTAATTTAGATTTAAATAATTCAACTGCAAAATTCTGATTGGTCCAAGTAGACAAAGATATGGTACCTTTTGGGTACCATAGAATCTACCTATAAATGTATAAATAAAAGGTAACTCATGTCAGATTCTTAAATTTGCACTTACCGGAAACAAAAAAAAATTGCAATTATTTACCCATGGAGATTAAGGATGTATTTACTTGTACTTGGATTTTTTGGTCTGGTTTGGTCTGAACTTATCTGGTCTGATCTGCTCTAGTCTGAGATTGAAAACAATCCAAGTAAAAACATCCTAAGCAATTATTTTATATTAAATTAATTATTTCGCCCGCCTGGATTCATGAATTCATTGTTAACATTATTTATATATACAAGATATGAGTGTATATCAGGTGGCCGGATCGAAAAGGTTACAAGAAATAAAATACTGATATACTCCCTCCGTCCCTGAAACAACTTTCTCATTTTCCTTATTTGGATGTCCTAATTTAACTTTCCATTTCCTTAAACGACAAATTATTTACATCAAAACAGTGTCGAACAATGTCAAACAGTGTCGAAATAGTGTCAAAAAAGTAAAATTTAACCACTGAGAAGTTTATTTTCTTAATATGGGTGTAAGTCAAACTGGAAAATTATTTCGAGGACGGAGAGAGTATTAAATAAAGTTGGCTTTTTAAAGATACCCTCCAGTCATTAAAAGGTGTAGTGCTCAAATCGGTATAATAAAGACTTGATGAATACTAAAGTGAGTGAGGGGGTGTTTGGAACTGATTCTGCTTCTGCTTCTTTTTTAAAAGCAGAAGCAGAATCAGAATCAGTTTTCAGAAGCTGGTACCTCCCAGCTTCTAAAAAAACTGATTCTGAGAGTAAATTAGAGCTCCAGAAGTGCTTCTGGAATTTCACCCAAACACTCCAGCTTCTGCTTCTGCTCCCTGAAGGAGCAGAATCAGTTTTGAGAATCAGATCCAAACACCCCCTGATACAAGTGAATTCAATGAGGTGATGTGAAATTAAAAGAGTAAATTAATAATAGAAACTTAACCAAATATAGAAACAAGTTAATTTCGGATATATAACGCGAATGGAAAACGTACTAAGCGCGCGAATGTGGGAAAAGAAAAATACAGTGCAGTGGTTGGGTACGTGGGCGGATCACCAGAGAAAAAGTGATTAATGCGGAATCTTAAGTAAGGTATGCATGCATGCATATTATGCGGCGGAATTAATGCGGAATGATGGTTGATTATATTATGACTGTGGCCGATTGACAGAGTCTCGGATTTGTTGAAGCACAGTGTCATTGATTCCGAAAGATCCTTTGAGCACATCGTCGAGGGCGGATCCAGGAATGGGAGCGGCGGTGGTGGCTTTGCCGAAGAGGTCGGTGGTGACGAAATGAAAGCCGGGGCTCTGGCTGTTGAACACCGTATAGGTGGTGCCTCCGTCGGACCCGTTGGCCAGCCCGAAGTGAGTGAGGCCCTGCGGGACGGTGAACGCGTCTCCCTCCCCGCACCACTTCTCGAAGAGGCGCAGCGGCTTGTTGGCGTCGTAGGGGTCGCTGGCCACGAACGCGAAGTAGAAGCTGCCCTTGACAACGACGGCGAGCTCGACGGCCCGGGGGTGGGTGTGGGGCGGAATCACGGTGCTGGGCGCGTAGTCGTTGCGGATGAGCGTGAGGGAGCCGGTGTTGAGGCCGGGCATGTTGGTCACGCCGGCGAAACTGAATGTTGATCCCGGAAATGCCGCCGGAGAGTGGGATGCGTTGAGACCGCTTGCGAAGAAGTCCTTTGCTTCGACCTGCGCTGGATCTTTGCAGAACCGCCCATTCACGAACACGCCGCTTGTTGAGTTCTGGTCTACGGCAACGCAGTACTCCTGGAGAGGACTCGGGTCGTATGCACGGCTCCCACCAAATGAAAACCACCACAAAAATATCACTGCAAACCCCCCCATTTTCATTTTTAATTTATTTTTATCTTATTAGCTAGCTGGAGTATATAATGTACTTGTATGTTATTATTATAGCTAGCTAGCAATTGAATTGAAGCGAGCTAGATGGTGGGTTTCTTCGTTCCTGGAAACCATGTATGGTATTTATAGTCATTTCTCTATGTTCCTACGGGGATTGGATGGTAATTACCCATTCCATCGGTATGTATGTCAAGAAGATCGAATCCTTTTTTAATTCCGCGTAAATGATGATCGATGCAAGATATTCACCGTTACGTTGTTACTCCTTATTGACTCAATCTAATCATATCGCGCGCGAGTATTATACGGAGTCATGTATTTACTTTCACTACCTCCCATCCTCATTAATTGGCTCGCTGTCATAATAATCATTATATTATTATAAGGTGACAACTCCGGTACCTTTCTAAAAACAGGGGTATTGTACCTAACATATATTTGATTGGACCACATCACTTTATCAATTTTAATTTAGATTTAATTAATTCAACTGCTACCTTTTCATTGGTCCATGTGGACAAAGGTATGGTACCTTATGGGTACCATAGAAACTACCTTATTATAATTACTTTTACCAGCTTATAATATCTTTTCCATCTACCCAATACCCATTCGTATTGCCCCAAATTTAAAAGATATTGCCTAAATATCTTTAGTAAAACAATGACAAAGTTTTCAAATATGAGTACTATCCAATAATGGAGGCCTGGGGCAAGTCCCTATATATGCTTCCGAGTTCCGACCCCATAATTTAGTATTAGTATTTAAAGATAAAAAATGTGTCCCCTACACAAACAAAAAAACTCTTAGATATGGAGATAATTTCATCTATGAGTATATAACAATTGTACTGATCTACTCCATTTTTTGTTCTATTTATATGTGTTATATCTGTCTGAGATCATTATCTACATTTGTTACATGAGAAATGTAAACAATCACAAGGATGTGATTGAGCGATTCCTTACAGTTAAGTATATATGGTCAACATGTTTTCTTTGAAAAGTTGCATTGATGATTTTTTTTGTTAAGTATATATGAATAATGTTCGTCCAAAGTTAGTGGTCTAAGATATAATAAGGCTTCTAATATGGTTATATGGGGGATGAACTTAATGGATGTAAGACTTTTCTTTTGCACAATAATACATTAATGCAAAAATGTGTCAATTCGAGATAAATTACATTAGTGTCACACTCATAGCCTCTTTGAGTTTATGTACTGCAACGTAATAAAAGTTGGATATATAAAATCAAATTACTACGTAGTAAATAAAATTGTATTGAAGGATGGAATCACAAAGTTGAATTATTCTTCATTTCTTAACATGGTAACATTATATTTCAAACAAGTATCAACAAATCACATGTAGTGGTACAATGTGGATTCATTCGACATGATCCTACTATCCTAGTTTAGAACTCAAATAATCTTGAACATGTTATACTATTAAAATAACAAGAATTTTAATGCAAATCACAAACGGTGTGCAAGGAGGATTCATTTCTAATCCAAATTACGTTTTCTTTCAGAAAGCCAATTGTTATTGTTTATTAGGGTTTTTTAACTAGATCTATAATATATAAATGTCTATGCTTGAAACCAACATTGAATGATCTATTTTCGGTTACAAATAATAATTTGAACGGACTAGATAGATTAGGCCAGTGTTGCACCCGACCTGACTCATTCTCATCCATGTGACAGTACCCCTGCTTAAAAAAACTTCAGGATCCGTCACATGTGGTATCTATTGATTTAGAGGCCGGCTAGACATCTTTTGAGACCCTAGACAAGATATAACACCAACGTAACATTTAATGTCGACATATAGTAGTATCATTGTATCTTCTAAAACTTATTTACACAAATATAATTAACAGAAATTGTCCTAAATAGTAGTAAAAACGTTTTGAAATTTCAAAATATAAGACAATTATGTTTTTTATTCCCTAAGTAGAAGTGATATGCCAAGTTTGGAACAAAATGCCATGTTTAAAGCCTAGTAATGCCAAATTTGGCAGAAATTTACTCCTATTCAGGGAATAAAAAACATGATGGTCCTATTTTGGGATTTCAAAACGTTTTTACTCCTATTTAGGGAATTCTCTCTATAATTAATAGTTACTATAAGGTAATGTCTAATAATGTAATTATCTAGGTATTACTCTGTAATTTAATAACTCGGTTGTATTATAAATATAAGGTTGCGGAACCCAATAGGGTAAGCCATTATTTCCCAAATATTATTGTTTTGTATATGGCATCAGAGCTACTATTTCCCAGATAATGTCATGGTAACTTAAATTTAAAAACTGAACATAAGTTATACTACAAAAAAACAGTGAATCAGCGACGCAAATAGGAACGAAAAATGATATTAAATCAGCAACGGAATTGCTACGGAAAAATTTCGTCGAAATAGCGTGGTTGGAAAAGTTGCCGACGGATATTTGCTACGGTTTTTTTAATCTGCGACGGGTTCCGGACGGAAATAAATCGTCCCTATTAGCGACAGAAACAACTGTCTCTATCTTCTCAATAAATATATTGATTTAATGCTTATAGTAACAGTTATTTCCTTCGGAAGTATACCAAATGGTAAAAAAAATGGCGAATACAACCCAGTTTATATAGCCAATACTTTTAATAAAATATATTCCGTACAATACAGTTCCTGCACAAAACATAAATGGAAAATACACAGAAGATTATACTTGAACATTTCAATCTTAAATGGAAACTACATGCTGATTTTTCTGGCTTAAAGCATAATTACATACAATTTACTCCATAAATAATGTAACAGAAATATGAAGTATTAATCACTGTGAATGAAATTTACACGGGAAGAACATGTCTATATCTATGTACAAGTGTAGAACTGCTCCAAACTATATAAAAAACCGAAGAAGTGCTTGAAGAATAGAACCACCACAAAATCTGGCTATATGGCATTTTTGAGGATGCGAGGCTTCAACGGCTGGCAATGATTTGAGGTTGCACGGCTTCGACGGGTGACAACGGTGGAGGTTGGGTGGCTTCAACGGTGGGTAGTGATTTCAGGTTTATCGGCTTCTGCGATGGGCAACGACTCCAGGTTCAAAGGAATCAGCGGCGTGGATCGATTTGAGGTCGGGAGGCTTCTACGGCGGGGCAACTATTTGTGGTTGGGAGGCTTCGCCGGCGTGCAACCAATTGAGTTTGGGAGACTTCGAAGATGACACATGATTTCATATTGGGAGGATTTCTTCACATATAACCAGCTATGTGTGGATGAGAATGTGGGTAAGGATGAGCCTCGAGAAGGAAGAAATAATTGTGAAGAGGCCGGGGTTAAATTGTAAATCTAAGCATTCACCGAAGGGAAAACCCGTCGGTAAACCGTAGGAGATTCCGCGAGCAAAACAACCGTCGGTAATATGGTTGCATTTGCGTGTGAAAAATGAAAAAAAATCCCGACGACTTGCCGACGGTTTTCCGACGGTTCTGTTGATATACCGTCGGTAATTCCGTTGCTAATGACCCATCGTTTTATCTGTTGCTAAATATCTGTTGCTATATCGATGTTCTTTTGTAGTGTTACTATAACTACATTACTACTCTAGTCACTAGTCATATTTTTGTAAACAATATTTATTTTAATCATAAATGTGTAATTATTTCTTATGAAAATACAGATCAGATGCGTCTATTTTTAAAATTTGATTTGTGTGAAAAAAGAGTACTTTTCTTCTCTCTTTTTTTTTTTTGCAATGAGTACTTTTCTTCTTTGAAAAAAACTTTAGCTTTATTCCTTTACATTTTACGCGAGTCTTGTATGTACGACGGTATCATGAATGATGAAATTTAATTTCGTCACCAACACATCAAGAAAATTTGCAAACATCGACTATTCGACTTGTGAGAAAAAGCACTTTTGTTCTTCGTAAGAGTTTATTCATTGAAAATGAGTCGTGAAGTAGATTTTTTTTAAGGGAGTCATTTCTAAAGTGAAATTTACCCGATACTATTAATCCTCTTTAATCAATAACTAGTACTATTAATCTTCTTAAATTATTAATGGAGTCAAATTATTTTTTGAAGTTGACTACGTTTTTATATGTATATTTTGACGCAGTCAACTCCAAAAAATGATTTGACTGTCTTCCCGGTTCAATTTTGAGCTAAAATTTTTTATGGATAAACTAGATTTGATGTAGAACATTCTCAAAAAAATTCATCAAGATTCCACCGGTAAGTGCCCCAAACGGCGATGTTCGGACGGGGGAGTGCTGGACAGGATCATTTCTCTATACATATACTATCGTATATAGAGTAATGTTCATGTATATATATAGGAAAATGTTTATGTAAGGTAGGCCTAAAAGTTAAAATTTTAGGCCTCTTTCAGTTGAGGGGCTTCTGTAACGAATTTTTTGATGAAATTTTGTGAGAGTGTTCTCCCTGAAATGTATATTATATCTACCGAATTTCAGATTAAAATTTAATCGGGAAGTCACTTGATGTGAGTTTTCTCGCACTTAAAATAGATTGTAATATAGTGGTGTAAGTACGAGTATCTTCTCCACAGGGACGGACAAAAGGGAATCAAGAATTAATTAAATTCAGCGATTAGAAAGAAAATAAAATAAAAGCGTCGTGCGAGATTGGTTGGTTTGGAAAATAAAACTAATGCGAACAATTAAACTAGGGGATTCTTTCTAATTAATGACGAAGGGAACAGGGATCGATTCCGGGGTAACCAGATTTCTGGCAGATCAGGCCTAATTACATGAAATTAATTTAATTGAGCCTAACGAACTAATCATTACTAAGTTCTTACCGCTCTCGCGGCGTAGAGTACAATAATTTAGGGGACCGGGCTGATCTCACATGCGACAGGATCCTAAATTATTGCCAAGACGAGCGAGCTTACGGCCCCTTAATCGCTACTAATCTCTTAGCGAATGATTAAGTGTGTGTGAATGTGTCCTAGAACAAATTAGATCTCTCTTAATTTATTCTACATGCAATTGTAATTCTAGTCGCGATTCTAGGTTACAAAAGATATCAATTAAATTATTCAAACACAAATTAAACGGCATTCATGCAATTAAACCGAAAAGAATCTAGCCATACATCATGATTAACCCCTTCATCAATCCCAAATCCCTAATTAAAACTACTCACAATTCATAATTGAAGAATCAATAGAA